CTCTTTTCAAAAATTCTAAATTGAATAAAGTTGAACTCATAAAATCCTTATATAAATATACACATATACATTCATATATACATCGAATGAAGAACAAAAACGAAATAAAAACCTTTTTATCCTTTTCTCATAAATACCTGATGAATACTGAAAGGAATTTATTGTTACATTCAAAATTTCCACTTGAACTGTAAATGAAAACAGCGAATTTTATAAATTTTACATATGGTGAGAGACAGTGACATAAAAAGATAAGTTGACCCCCTTTTTTTTGAATTATTATTGAACACTGCCTATTGATTGTCTCATCGGCATATCATCATCTATGAAAATATTTTAACTTATAAGTAATATATGAGAAAATTCAATGCGCTCAGATTGACAAGTTATTAGGTTCAACTCTTCTAAATTTTTGTTCTTCTATTTACTAAAATCAGAAAATATGGTCTATGAATATATAATGTTGTTGCTTTATAACCAATAGGCTTAAAATGCATCGATTAAGAATTGAAATCGAACAAAAGTAAAATGAAAATAAAAAATAGAGAAAAAGTTCAAATTTTAAAAAGACCTTATGAATATGCTTTTGAAAATTGAGTTCACATATACATACATATGTTCAATATGTCGATCTGTATATACGTACGTTTTTTGTACATATTATTAAAGATATGAAAAAAGGGATGTGCTCCTCAATAAAAACAAAAATCTAGAAAGACATTACAAAAATTTAGAAATTTATGAATGAATTTGGAAGCACTTTACTTCCACGTCTAAGGGGGGTGTTGAAGAAAAATATCGCAACTTGATTATGTAGTAGAATATTGTTGTCAACAGTGTACACATGCCTATCTATTCATGTGTATAAAACGTACATCCATACAAAGAGTAGATTATAACGTATATTTTGTATAAGATGTGTGTTATTAGTTAAATTATATACATATATGTATACATATGAGACTAAAATATTTTCAATCATAATTTATAATATAGGATATTGTATAAGCAAATAAAGTGTTTGTCGAACCGCAATTAATGAAAAAGATTTATTTCAGAAATGTTTGAAATTACTTTTTACAGTTTTGTTTATCAAATTTAACGTTTATCAAGATATTGCTTGAATCAAACATTTAGCGTTACAACAAAAGAGCAGAGATTGACAGCATTCATTTACAATTAGAAACTATCATGAATTGCCAAGCTCGTCCGTCACCAATTATGCGGGAGACATGTGTGATTTATTGTCAGTAAATAAATTTTAAACAACGTAGAACTAATTAATATAATTCAAATATTGTAAATAAATTCAAAGAAGAGAGTTATTCAGGAAAAAATGTGGTAAAATAAGACAGAGCTTGAAATTTTTCGGTTAACTGCACAATTTTGTACCGACCACGTTGAATACAATAAAGGGGGTTATGTGATGGCATCAAATTTTGGATGTTGAGTTTTCAATGGGAACGAACTTCTCCATAGTATAGGGAAACGCAAATAAACTTGACCATTTTGCGGGCCGTTTTTCAAATTTTTGCGCACATAAAGAAAAATTATCAACAAAGTTCCTTCACATAATGGTATTTACAATGACTGTATAAATTTTTTTGGAGAGATTACGTCTCGGAAACTGAGCAAAGGGCCGACTTACAATTTTCGCCATGTCTACAGAACTAATTTATTGAATTTTTCATCATTAATATTTAAGTTTTGGTTGCTACTGAAGTTAGCAGGTGAACTTTATAGAGGAATGTCAGCTAAAAGCTGACTAGTGTCCTTAAAATTGGAAGTGTTTAAAACGCATTTTTATAATCTTTTGTGTAAAACTAGACAATATACATTGCGGACGGTTATATGCTGACCACATCAGAAAATTTGAAGGAAAGATATCACATAAGAGAAAATAAATATAGCATTCCTATGATTATGAATTTTAAAATATCTTTCAGACCAACAAACTCTTTGTTTTAGAGCTGGAGAAGGAGTAGTTTTATTTGCTTTTGCTTACAAATACTCCAAAAAATCTTTGACAATAACCATTCGAATGATTTCACATCAGATTAAGTAGTTATAAAAACTAGAGGACTCATTAACTAAAACTCACTTTTCTTGAAGATTATTTATTGCTAGAGTGATAATGTGCCACTACCTGAACTAGTGATGAACTTAACGTCTGTGAGGTTAATTTTTAATTCTCAGCTTTTTTGAATAATTCTTACGATTTTAAATGTTTTTATACGTAATAATTGTAAACTGAGCGCTCAATAATATTCTATAATATACGTCAGAAGAAAAACTGCAATGAAATACAAGTTCATAAATAAAGTTTAAAGCTTCCTGTACTCAATAAAGTAATACATCTTGTATTTTCGTGCAATATAAATTATATTTCATGAAATTTTACAATGTATAATGTTAATTCATATATGAATTACTCTCATTTTTAATTATTATAAAGATTTTATCCTTGTAGAAACATTTCCTATATACCAAGTAAAGGTTTTATAAATTCAATAAACTATCATGTTTCAATTTTTATTTGTGTAAATATGTATGTACGTGTATTTATAGCAATATATGAACTTGAATATTTTATATTTTATGATTAAATACAATAAAATTTTCGATTAAAGACATCGAATACGAAATTCAGACCTTTAATACACCTTGCATTTCTTCCAGTCATAATAAAGCAAACAATGCTACGTAAACTGCAAAAAATGAAAGTATAGTAATAAAAATTAATTGAAAAGGATATTTCGATATCCTTTCTATGTATAGGCAATAACTACATATAATATGAAAATGTTCACCTATATACCTTTATTAAATCTTAATCAATATACGTGAATATGTTTTAAACCATATCTACAGATAAATAGTAATAGAAAGGTTTATGGATTTTTAGTCAAGGTGGAATATTTTGAATTCTAACTACAGCACTATATTATCTTTTATTTTTTATTATTTATTTTTTTCTGGTTATTTCCTTATTTATTTTGTATTTTTCATTGCTTTAATCCTGAGTATTTTTTGATGGTATATACGTACATACATATAAATTGACATTTACAAGATGGTTCAGCCGGTTTGTATTTACTTTAAACTTTTATAATCATCTTAAACATCATCATGAAATGCATTTATATCTGTAACGCCTACGGTAAGGAATATGCACACCTTTTCGTTGCATCACAAAAATTTAATAGAGTTATTTCAGATAACTTTCATTTCGAGAATCTCTCCATGCACTTGTTTGTAGTTTTGTAAAATAAGAGGAATAATTTTCGATGTTTCCGCATTTCCGGAATTTATAAATTGCTTCGATACAGCTTTGATTTCTATACAGAGTATAGTTTGTAAAAAAACTTGCATTTTCAAAAGTTGTAACAAAATGAGAAGACAATGCTTTTGCTGAGATTTATTTTTTCAAAATATCATGCTTTTGTCCTTAAAAATATAAAAATTTTCTAAACAAACTGACAAACGGAACAAACTGAAAACAAACCGAAAGACAGTGATGGAAACATTTATTCCAAGTTCTTCTACAAATGTACCAATAACTCTGTTTTTACTGCTTTCTTGTCTGTTATATTATTATGGAATCGTTTAAGCTTAGATAAAAAGCATTCTCTGGGAGAATTCGGGATCCTTACCCACAGGAGAAGGCGCTCAACCCGGAGGAGCTACGGTCTGCCGGGCCTTTAATGTTAATCAAATTTATCAGTTCCTCGAAAGGATGTTGTAGGGCCTTGCCCCACACCTAGTTTGGCAGCATAACAGACCTTTTCCAGTTGTGGTGCATCGTTACCCTTTCTTTGCAATATACAATCTAAGTTAATAGATATAAATATGAAATTCTGTTTGGCCAAAATTGAGATACACGCACGCACACATTGAAACACTTATATACAAAAAATTAGTTAGAAATCTCTTGTAAAATGTTTCTGTGACATGCAGAAATGCATTTCCGTTGAAAACTCGACATGGTGGCATTATGCTACACCCAATTGTATGCAATATTTTTTATTATAAGGAAGTAATGGTACCAAATATTTTCAAAATATAAATAAAGCAAAAAATTATCAACATTAAGGAAATGGACATGGGCAGAACACCTGGTACAAAAGCACGTGCATACACATATGTACAAAATTGTACGTGGAATGAAAAAATACTTTGATCCTGATTAATCCTAAAAGAGGTCGTAGTATCTGATACAGAAAATAGCTAATTCCTTAATTCTGTCAGTTTGATACTTTTGGATTTTAGATATTGTTCTCTATTCCGATTTTGTTTGCCTCTGTTCAGATTATTTTTTTTTTTTGTTAGCTCAAAGTTTTATATTTCTCTTGTCACCAATTTCCCTTGATTTTGTTAAGGTTGTTGTTGTCTTTTTGATTGAAATTAATAATGAATCAATGCCCTATATACAGAATATATACACGTGTGTATGATCATGTTTTAACTAAATATATATATACATATAGTATTACGCGTTGTAGTTTGTGGTAGTTGGCAAAGCCAATTAGTAAAATATAAACGGAAAACTTCTTTTATATATTTGACGTATTAAAGATAATTTTTTTTATTTAGCAAAATAAAGTTTAATAACTAGCCAATAAATAATATGGGTTACTATACTATAAGAAATTCTCCTGCCGGTATTTAGGATTTTCCACAATACGCGATTTCATTTCAGTAATACAATACACAAGTTTTCAAAATCAAATTTGTTTGAAAGCAAGGTCCAAAGGCCAATAGCTTGAATATAATCATAAAACTCTTATGGATAAAATCCGAACACAATAATTTTTTTCCGACAAGTTTTGACAAAAAAAACACCTTTACAGTATTTTAGAAGTGAAAAACAAATTGACTGGCCCAATCATGCTTTAGTAATAAATATGTTATTGCTATTTATGAATCTCAAAATTATTTCTGTTTCTAGTTAACCAATTATAAAAATCGGATTATAAAATTATAAAAAATGTAAAACTTACCATTAACTTTAGTTAAATCAAAATCTCTTCTATCAATATTAGTTGAAGCTGCAGATACTGTTGATGGCATTATTTTATCAGTACTTAAACTATTTCCAACAGATGGAATTAACGTAGGATGTCCAACAGTAGGCAAACCATTTTCTATTACTGACAACGGTGTACTAACTTTAGGTGTTGTAGCTAAATTACGATTTTGAAAAGGATTGGATTGTTGTTGCTGCAATTGCTCTTGATGATGTTGCTGAAAATGATGATGTTGTTGATGGTGATGTTGTAAAATATTATGTTGTTGCAAATGTTGATGCTGTTGTTGTGGTTGCTGTTGCTGTTGACTTATTTCTGACGATCTTTGGATAGGAGTTTGAGTACAATTAACTAGATTATTTGTCATATTATCTGTGTTACAATTTCGAATTGGTGAATTTTGATTTGAAGATCTCAAATTATTTTCACTTGTGTTAGCATTTATATTATTGTTATTTGTGGTACTTGCTATATTTGACATTCTTTTATTTTCAATATTGCTACTACTATTAAATGGTTTTGGACTGGAAGATAGATCATCTTGATTCATCGATGAAACAGAGAAATTTTTGTCAGATGAAAGAGATTCTCTTAAATTTACTTGTTGATGTGAAGGTGGTGGAGTTAGTGGCGGAGTAACAGAACGCTCCTTTTTCAAATGCAATAATGGGGGCACTGTAACTGTACCAGGTGATTTTGATCGAGTAAGAGCAAGAGCTTGTGTCTAAAAAGAAATAAAGTTATTAAAATTTTTTTGATTAAATTGAAGAAATTGAAATTTTAATAAGAATTTTTTTAATTGTTCAAAGCATTATGCCAAAATGATTTTAGAAAATTATTATAGACTCTAGAAAAAATTATATTTGCATAGAAAACAATGTTTGTCGATTTCAGCTATTTTGTTTAATCGTCGGGGTACCATCAAGCCAGATTTACATTGTGGTATGGAATAAGGAAGCCATAAAAAAATTTTCAATTACCTTTCAGTCTTTAGTGAAAAATCTTCCACTGCCAAATTTCTAAGAATTTTTCAACCATTTTCATATTCTTTTTTAAAACCATAACCGCTTAAACTAATTAACTATCTTACCTGTGAGAGATTCAAATTGATTATAACTTATTTGGTATTAAAATTAATAAAAACTCAAAAATAAAATTTTTATTTTGGCATTTAATTATAACAAAAACTGAAGACTACAAAAGAAAAGCCTAAAAGTTTAAAATTATTTATTCTGAGATTTTTTTTTGAAAAATCATTATCAAATTAAAAAATAAGATGACAAAAACAAATTCCAATAAATCACATAAGATTTCATGATTGTTGTCATTTTCCATCCTCATCTCCCCCTCTTTATCCTTGCTTTACATATTTTCAAAGAGAAAAAAAAATTACGATAAACACAAATCAATGCACAAATTTACTCCGTCAACTAATGTATAAAATTTTGTCAGTTCAAATACAGCAAAAAAAAAAAGCAGACCTTTAATTTTTTTTTACTTGTTACTAATTTTTAAAAGCAATCTAAAACCAATCAGAGAATATTGCCATTTCTGGCACTTGTTCAATCAATTTATTATGATCTCGATCTCGAAAAACTTGAATATATTTCATTTTTTGCTTATTTTTTTGTTAACCCTTAATATTTTATTGTTGATTTGTTTCTTTATTTCTGTTTTAGTGTTTTTCTTTATTTTCTCCTTCAATATTTCAATAACCAATCACTTTATTTGTCTGGACTCTTCATAGAACCCTTCATCACTATCATTATCAATATTAATATTATCATGAATCATCATTGGCAACATCATATACTCAAAAAAAATCATCATAAAATAATGCAGTATTTAAAAGAAAATGTTTAAAAATGATAAAATCAGAGAGAAAAAAAAAACTTAAAAATTCAATCGATTATGAAATTCCTGGATACACCAAAATAAGACAATATTTCGTCTGCCATCAAGACGAAAGTCAGTAAAACAAAAATTTCATTTTGCTTTTTTTTCTTTTCTGTAATGCTTATGGATTTTTGCAACATAAATATTTTTGGTTTTTTTTTTGTCCTTGCTTGCATCGTAAGATGAGTGAAGAATAATTCTTGATTAAGATTGCCTAATTCGGATAACCAAATAACAAAAGAGATACATATAAATGTGAAGATACACGAATATGTACATACATATGTATGTACGTATATGATGAAAAAGAGAAGTGACGTAGAAAATAAGAAGAAAAACCAATAGAATGTATTTATGTAGATGGATACAGAAGCGTACCGACTTGTTGCTTTTTCAGAGCCTTTATAATAAATAACAGCACCGCACTGAGGAAGATATTGAAAATTTCATTATCAAAATTTTAAAGTCCAAAGAACAAACAAAAATTTTAATTTCAAATTAGAGAAAAAAAATGTAAAAATGAAAAAACAATTATCGGTTGGTCTAATTATGAAAAATCCAAAGTTATTATTACTCTTAATATAATTTGCAGATTATGTTAAAGATGTGAAAGGATAAAAGTAAGAGGTGTAAACTTATTTCAAATTTCCATTGAGGTAAGCTTATAATTTTGGTATAAAGTTTAGGCCAAAACTACAAAATGTAAAAGTTTGTACGTTTATAAAAATTTTATGACTCTTTTTCGCCAAATAATAAAATATTGCACTATTCCCTAAATGAATTCTAGTGCGATATGAAAAATTTGAAAGTCTTTTAAACATTTTTTAAGATATTATCAAAAATATAAAATAAGCGCATAGTAAAGCCCCAGTTTATCGAGCTTTATTTTTCTAGAACGCCTTTCAACTTTCATTTTAATAAAAAAAGCTAGTCCATAAAATTATAAGCAAAACTGACCCTATTACGAGTATTCTGTAAAATGTTGAAAATCAAAAATGAAGGACCGCTTAAGGTTTACTTCCTTGCGTCAGATCTTTCCAACAAATCTTTAGTTGTGTTAGAAATGTGAAGTGTGTTGCCAGTAAAAACCTTGGCCCAATTTTATCAAAAACCGTTAGTGACATCAATTAAAAAATAAAATTAAAATATAACGGTTTAAAAGATTAAATAAGCATATGTTAACGGTCCGCTTTGTAGAACCTGATGTCACTTAAAAATTGATTAACTCATTCATCATGTGAACATAAAGTAGTTGATTTTTAAATTTAGTAAAAATTGGTTAATTTATTTTACTAGTGATTCGACACTGCTGTTAAAGGAATTTCCCCCAAAAACTTTTTTTAAAATTTACGAAAAATGATTGAAATATTTGAGTTAATTATATTTAATTAAAATTGGTATATGATGTGAAATTGAAAATTTATTCTCATAATGATTATGTTTGCTCTCATTATTCTTAATCCTTAACATATCTCTGCATTTTAAATAGTCAAACATCACCACTTGATAACAAAATATCTACTTATTTATTTTTTGTTCTTTTGCTTTGTCTTTTATACGGTAGCAAAATTCTTCGGTAACAATAACAATTTTGTCATTAAGGTGCGCAAAGTTTTGAATTTTAAAATACAATTTTGACGATTTATTATGAACAGATAGTATAAAAATTTTAAATCTGAAAAAGGCATTCCAAAATCGTATAAATATTACTTTTATAATCTGAGCAAAAACTATAAAAACAATATATCAACAGACAAAATATTCAAAAAAACTGATTTCATATATTATATACTTTTACATACATACAAACATGGAGATTGATTCGCAAAATCTTCATGTCCATTTTTACCTTAGAATTTACGTTTATAGTAAGTAAGGTAGCTAAATTTTTTATTTTGTCGTCATCATATCACAGCATGAAATAATTTTAAGAATATATTGTTCATGTACAAGTTCATCTTGTTTAGAGCGAGTGCTATTGAACTTTCTTATAATTTTTTTTTTCTGCTCTTTTTAATTAAGTTTAAATTTTTAATAAAAAAAATGAGAAAAACTAAAAGTATAAGTGTATATGCATGAATTCTTCAAAATTAAGGAATTCACTTCGAACAACAATCATTATTAAAATAAAATAAAAGGTAAAAAATGATGAAAAATATTGCTAAGTCTTGAAGAAATCAATAACATTTGTGCCAAAGTAAAAATTAATTTTTTTTTAAAGAAATATGAAAATTGAAAATATTGTAAGCGATACAAATAGTTTGATAGCATAATGAACATTTCTAGAACTCGAACTATCTGAACAAATTCTGAAATTTAAAATTCATTTTTTCGAATTAATTTGTAAATTAGTTAAAAATTGATTTGTTAATAAAATTTACGACAAACAATTCGGACAAATTTCTGAAAAAGTCTACAAATTCTAATTTTTGCTAAGTTAGAGTTTTGAACAGTGTGTAAGGTGAGTTTGACAATGTTATGTACACTTATATATAATATGTATGTATCATATAATATGTCAAATATCTTTGCTTCCATGTTTTAAATTAATCGGTTTTAAAACAATCTTTTTATTATTTAAACTTTAATACTGCAGTGTTAAATGTGTGTAAACAAATGCATTATGGAACGCATTTGGAATTTATTAATTGCGTAAAATTGTATGCTTTGATTCTTTGTTTTTCCAATGTTTTATGGCTGAAAAATGTAAAAGGAGACAAATGCAGTGCCAAATTATACACAGTGCATGTATATGTTTATATGTACTTGTATACTCTGTGGTTTACTTTTTGTTGGATATCCAAAAAAGTTCTTAAAAAATATTGAACTGAGTGCAATATAGATATTCTTTTTCTATTTTGCGAAGTTTCGGCCTCTTTTATACAATGTAGAATTTAAAAGAGTGTAATCATATAATATAACTAAATATTATCTACTATTAATTGCAAAAATCTAACAAAACTCATTGCAAAAAGCACCGATTAAATGCTATGTGTATATAGGAACTCTAAAATTTGTTCTGTGTGTTTTTTGTTTACTTTGGAAAAAATATAGCTAAAAAACCTTATTAATAATACAAAACGAAAAAAAAACGCTGTCCTTTTGCAATAATTTTTTATGAAACGAAGTCAAATTTTAAAGACGATTTGTCAAAATCAGACTTTGCGGATATTATACGATAAATTTCCGTCGGAACGACAAATTAATTAAAACATTACATTTCTATGTATTTTTGATCATACAAACATTGTGCATTATAATAGTGCAATATAAATTGAAATTGTGAAATGCTACAGTGGTTTATTATTTTAAGTCTAATTTTATTTCAATCGCTAATTGTTACTCAAATCGCACAAATAAAATTTCCTATACAGTTTGCTTAAATGATAATTAGAAATTTCATTAAATTTCACTTTTATGCCCGGAAAAGTGTTGAAAATTTTATGGCAATAAACATTTCAACTATATTAGTATAACAAAAAGTGTTACCAAACAAGAAAAAAAAAACAGCAGACAAAACTTTTTTCTTTTTGCTTTGGATTGCTAAAGAACACAAATACATCAACACAATTATTTTAATTTTTCATATTGAGGAATCAAGGTAAAGACAGTAATGATGATGATGATGAATAAAATATTGGCGATAACAGCGATCAGGAAAAAATATGATGTTAACTTGAAAAAATAAGGAAGAAAATGTGTTTTTTGCTCATGTTTATTTGATAAAAGCAACAAAAACAGCAAAGTTTGAAGATGCAACAGGTAAAACATCTTATAGATACATACTCGTATTAATTGAAAGGAATTTTTTGGATAAATTTTTGACAT